GGCATGTAAATGCATCAAAATAGGTGACCTATGTTTTCGCATGGCATGGTTTCTAAATAATGGGAGATGACATACCATTTAGTTTTTTATGTTATCCAGAGAGAACTAAAATATAAGTTTATTTTTCAAATAATCTTTTTTTAAATTGGGCAATGAAAATGTGAGTTTTGTTGGAATTTCTCAAGAAGTTTACTATATAAGGGGAGGGAGGATGACAACTTACTGCACAGGCACTGTGAAGCATTTCCATTTTCTCACATGGGGCCAGTACTTGTCATATCGTAGGACAACACATTTCACAAGGCGGTTTTACTTCCTTTTAGCAAAATAGCTCCTGTATGCAAACCAAAGCAGTATCAGCATAGAACAAGCTTAGACTTCCATTTCTTCTGATCTATTCAAGCTTCAATGCACTACTTAACTGACTTTTTTTCTTTCTTTTGAAATTACCCAGCTAATTTTCCATTTGATTGTTTACTTAAACCAAATCTCACATAGGGTTTAATAGCTGAGTGACACATGTTCAGTGTATCAGTATGAATTTCAATTGACAAGAATGTACATTGCAAAATTTTTTGGAGATTTCATTTTACATCTTTCTTAGTAAATCCAATTAATGAAAATTCAGCTAATAGATGCACAATAACTATTCACTAAGAAACTTTAAATGTAAAATTCTTCTAGACTTTATTAAGGGATGACTTCACATCCCCACATTTGTAGGTGAACACATACTTTGTTTTATATTGATCTTAGTGAGATAGTATTAATAACAGATATAGGTAGTTTTTCTCCATAGAAAATCATTCATATAAATTGTAAAGAAAAAAAAAATGATGGATTTTTTTGTCATTTCATGGCTAGATTTAAAAACCTTAAATAATTGTCCTGACTTTTTATTATGGGGGAGTTGTTTATGTTTAGGGGCTGTTCACAGGATTTTTTCCCCTAGTAACTTAAAGAATTTCACATATAATATAACTGACCAATTTAATCTTGTGGTAGATTTGTTCTTTGTGGGTATGCAGCCAATTTAGTCATGCATAAAATCAAGCAGGTAAACGAATAGTATATAAAGAACAAACATGCTTTCCATAGTCTATTCAAATATTTTCCAGTTCAAAGGACATCCACTTTGTCTTTCCCACTGCTACAGGGTACAAAACCACATGACCTTGTACTATGTCTATAGCAGCATTCTCCTAATTGACCACCCTCAGTTCTGTTTTCTTTCCCTTCTACTCTGTCTTATATACTACTGTCAGAGCAATCATACTAAAGTACTGTTTTACCTGTTACTGCTCCTCCTGTATCTTTAGTAGCTCCTGTTAGCTACAGAACTAAATCCAGAATTTGTTTTGATTGACTACGCATATTTGTTACAAGATTTTTTTTCTTTTCTTTTTTTTTTTTGAGGGGAGAAGGAATTAGGGGAATGAGGGAGGTGGGAGGAAGAGAAACAAATGCTTGTTAATTGAAAACAATAAAATTTTATTTTAAAAAATAACTCCAGATTTCTGACACTTACAACATCATGGAATTTAGAATTGGAAGCGATGTCACCATCAATTCCATCCCATAGACATTCATGATCTTTTATATTCTGGTCACAAATACAGCTTGGTATAATGGAAAAAAGCAAGGTATGGTCTAGGCCCTAAACTCTAGAGCAAGTCGGTTTGGGTCTTTCTCTGGGCTTCAGTTTATCACATGTCAAATAAGAAATAGAAAACAGATAATCCCTAAGGTCCCTTCCATCTTTAAACCTAGAATCTTATGATTTTGCCTCTCCCACATTATTTCTCCTTCTCCAACATACAAACCATTGCACATAGGCCAATCCCTAATGTGAATAGTCTATGGAAATTAGTGATAACATATCTTTACTCATCCCTTTCTCCTACCTGTAATAGTATCTTCTTCCTCTTCTCCTCCTTATCCTTCAAGTGCAAATTTCAAGTCCTATCCCCTCTATGAATTTTTTTTGTATTATTTCAGTTCATAGTGATCTTTCCTTCCTATGAATTTGTATAGTGCCCATATCCCTTATAGTCTACTTTATGTTATTCTTTTTCTCTTAATGCCTTGAACTCCTGGAGAGCAAAGACTATGTCTTCCTAACTTCTCAGATTTCCTACAATTCCATGCACATGGAAGGCATTCAATAAACATTTGCTACTATTGATATGATGGTGATGGAAATACCTCCTCCAGTGCTCCCATAGAAGAGCCTATTAGTTTTCTTATAGGTTTATCATACTTTTAGTTAATGATAACTGAATCCAGTTGCAAATCTACAAAAGCAAAGAGCTAACATGGATTCATCAAGAAGTCATGTCTGACTAACTTCATTTCCTTTTTTGACATTGTTATTAGATCGATACATTAGGAAAATGCTACAGACACAATGTGCCAAAATTTCAGAAAAACACTTGACAAATTTCATTTTCTTGAGGATACCTCACTGTATCCTTCTGAACAAAATAGGGAGATGTGGATGAGAACCTAATACAATTAGGTAAATTCACAACCATTTAAGTAATCAGACCCAGAAAGTGGTGACTAATGGATCACTGTCAAACTGAGGAGAGGCCTCTAGTGGTGGATATCATGTTCTAGCCTTAACTCTGCCCTCTTCTGTTTTCATCAGTGATGTACATGCAGGCATTGATGTAATGCTTATCAGATTTGCATGCTACAAGAAGCTGGAGGGGAAAGCTAGCACAAAGCAGCAGCATCATAACAATATGGTCAAACTCATGACAGCTTATATTGCATTAAAAGAAGCACATTTTCTGTAAGAGAGGAGATAGTCCTGCTGTGCCTTTGTCATAGGTAGTCCACATCTGGAATATAGGGTTCAGTTCTGAGTGCTACAATTTAAGATTGTTAACAAACCATGTTGCTTTCAGAAGAGGACAGCCGTGGGTAGCTAGGTGGTGCAGTGGATAGAGCACCGGCCCTGAAGTCAGGAGGACCTGAGTTCAAATCTGGCCTCAGACCAAACACTTGGCACTTATTAGCTGTGTGACCCTGGGCAGGTCACTTAACCCCAATTGCCGAAGAAGAAGAAGAAGAAGAAGAAAGAAGAAGAAGAAGAAGAAGAAGAAGACAGCCAGGATAGAGAGGGGACTAGATTCTGTGCTTGATGGAAATACCTATGTTTATTCTGAATAGTGGTTGGGCTGGGGCCGGGGGGGGGGGGGGGGGTAGGAGGAGAAGAGAATGTGATAGTTAACATTAAGTATTTGAACCATTATGACTTGTCCTACTTAGAACTCACACAGAAGAACTAGGAAGAATTAGCAAAAAGTCAAGTCAAATCAACAAGCATTTATTTATTTATTTATTAAACATTTATTATGTTCCATTTAGCACATTATGCTAAATTCTTTGGATACAAAGAAAGGAAAAAGCAGTCTTTACACTCAAAGAGATTATATCCTAGTAATTCTTCAGACATGAAAATAAGTCCACACAAGATACATACAGGGTAAATTGGTGCTAGCACAATGGGGAACTGGGACAGGCCTCTTGCAGAAGGTGGGATTGGGGGTAATACGTGAAGGAAGAAAGGGAAGTCAGGAGGTAGATATGAGAGGGAGACCATTCCAGGTTCTGGAATTCTAAGTCAGTGAAAATGCCTGGAGTCTAGAGATGAAGTGTCTGGGTCACTATGTGGAGGGGTGTTAAAATGTAAGAAAACTGGAAAGGTAGGAAATTACTAAGTTTTGAAGGACTTTCAAAGCCAAACAAAGGATTTTATATTTGATCCTGGAGGTAATAGGGAGGCACTAAAGTTAAATTCCAGTTCTGTGTTAGGAAATTAGAAGAAGAAGAAAAAAGCTGTCTAAAAGTAATGTTCTGTCTCAGGCTGGTAATGAGTTTCCCCTAACTAAGGCTGGATGATCACTTTCAATGATGCTGTAGTAATGACTCCTATGCACATACCCACTCTACTTGGTGGCCTTCTGAGATTCCTCCTAACTCCAAGATTATATAATAGCATGGCTTCTTCCATTCCTGTAGTAATCATGGTAGAGACCCAGAATCTGGTTTCAAAATTTGCTCTCATCCTGGCTTAGATTACATCCTAGATGGTATTCTGTGTAGCCCTACATGTCACTGAGTAGGAAGTCAAGGTGCAATTTTTCTTCATGTATTTTGAAAAACGGGATAGCAGAAACCTTCAAACATCCATTCCCTCCCTCCCCCAGTTCGACTCAGGCTAAACATCTGAGATTTCAGAACTCCCCTACTGCCTTGTGAGGTGGCTGCTCCCTTACTGTGATGAATCAGCATTTTATGGCAGCCTCAGCTCATTGTAGCTACTGGGCAGAAGTGCTGCCCTCTGAAGTTCTATGGGAGACCAGTCAAAAGAACCAGCCCATCAGAGTTATTATTAGAACATACCAAAAAGGGCAAGAGGGACTGAAGAACAACTATAGGGAGAATTTGCTCAAATAAAAGGGGAACTGAATGACAAAAAGATTTAAGAATCTTCCTGAAGCTTCTCCTCCTCCTGCACATCAGTTTTGCTCTTATACCCTTGCTTCATTTAAGAAGGAAAAAAAAAACAACAGCGAAGTAAAAGGGAGTGAGTCAGGAAGGAAAGTCAGACCCCTGTGTTGTGCCAGTCGATTAAAGCACAGCACAATTGCATGCTTTTCTTAGACCATAAGACTGTCTGACTTTCTTCCTGACTTTTCTAAATAGTAAAAAAAAAAAAAGTTTTAAGGACACAAGTTCATCTTAACAATCTGCTTAGTAAAACTACTGCTAGTAAAATTCTGCTTTGAAACTATTCAAATGTTGTATGAATTCATTAAAAAAAACTGTTTTAAACAGTGAATTCAGTAATACCATTGCTTTTCTACTCTTGTACTTTGCACCTTTAAGATTTTGTTAAATCGTTTTTCTTTTCTTTTTAATAGAGACACATTATGATATCTGGAAATATGTTTGCTCATGGATTTCCTTAAAAAAATACTTTTTTTCAGGAAACGGGTATGGTAACCCCCGAAACTCACCAGGTTTGCTGGTCTCACCTGGAAACTTGAATAAGAATATGCAAGCAAAATCTCCACCACCGATGAATCTGGGAATGAACAACCGTAAACCAGATCTCCGAGTCCTTATTCCACCGGGCAGCAAGAATGCAATGCCATCAGTGGTAATACTAGACTATATTTTAATGCATTTTCTGTTACCTTCTTAATATGTTACTTCCTATAGTGAATTCTTAAAATATATTGGATCATTTTTAACAATTCCTGAAATTCAACCATAAAAACAAGACAGTGGCTCTGCTAGGACATTTTGTGTCCAGCTATAGCTTCTGTTATCTAGTTTCCTTTTCTTTTCTTTTTGAAATTAAAAAAAAAATTGTTCAGGAAAGGCCTATTGATAATGCTGGTGTCAGGGCACATGGACAATATCCTCATTGTGGTGTCTCTAGTTTCTGTTTAGAAAGAATCATTCATTCTACATCATTGTTTTATGTAAGATATTCGGTTAGAGAGAGAATAAAATTTGCAGAATATTAAGGTGTTAATGGTCTTTTAACTGTATTCATTGATAGACATTTTGAAGGTGTTAAAAATATGAAGTATTTTCTATAATTTCTAAAAATATTTTTTCCTGTTAGAGATTCCTTTCTTAGATTCATTTCAATAATGATGGTTAGTATATCTTACACATCTCTGCTTAAACTCAATTTAAGCTTTCATGCTAGTAATATAATAGCCAAAGACAAACTGTTTTTAAATCCCATTCACTCTAAGAATAGGGGTCATGTTTTACAATATTAAAAGGCTAATAGTCATTTCTGAGAAGGAATAAAATAATACATAAAGAATCCCTGGGCCTATGTACTTTGCTGATTTTTTCTTGTATTTGACAGTCTTCAGTTTATTATAGTGGGACTAGATTTGACATTGAAAGGCCTCATATCATTGTTCTGCAAATTAGCTTATCATTAGAGTGAGAACATTAGAAACACCTGATTTTTTTAAAGGATTCTGTAAACAGATTTAGTTCATGCTGTAAACACATTTCTTTCTCCTATTTGGTTATACATCAGGGCAAAAATTGTACTGTGAGCTGATTAATATATTAGGACAAAGTACAGATTAATTTTGAAAATTGCCCCCCCCCAAATCACATAAAATGGAGTGACCCTTTTTTGAAAAGACTGGAATTAATAAATATGGTCTCCTACAGGGCTACACTCCAGCAGACTGAAGCAATGACAAGCTGTCTCTATCAATGATTTATTCTAGGGCTCTTAAAGCTGATATACTTTCCTGGGGATTCTATCTATGAATGGCCAGGGCTCTGGCAACCAGGTGCCACTCTCCAGCCTCACCCACCAGTGAGGCTCGGTAGTGTCATCTTTTCTCTGGTGGTGAAATAATGAATGCTGAAACAATGACCTATGCTGAAAACGGGGTAGATTGTCTTCACATCTGAGACAAACATCTCATTAGAGGAAACAAAGAATGCCTTTGGAAGGAGTTATTTTTACAGACTGGGTTCAAAAACTGTTTAAACTGTTGTGCCTGTCAGAAGATGCTTTTCATTATGTTGAAAGGAATTTGCCCAATGATAAATATTTACTCGCACTAATTATTAATACTCCTTTCCTACGCTCTCAGTCTGAGGATGTCGATCTGCTTTTGGTAAGTGGTGGTAGTGCCCCCTTAAATTTAATCATGCAAAGAAACTGATTGTTATTTTTAGACGGAGTTGGTGCCTGTGGTGAAATTGAGAAACGTTAGAGATTACCACAAAGGGTCGATATTGCTAAATTTTTAAATATTTATAATTTCCAGTATGCATCAGAGGTGAAAAGAACATTGGGTCATTATATTTTCCAGCTTAACCTCTCTCTGTGTAGAGCCAAGTTTTAAACAGTATGTCTGCTTTGTAGCACACAAAAAGGACTTAAAACTCTATGGTTAGGTATTTTATATCCTTATTGTGATGTATTTTTTTCTAGTAATTAGGTTTCTTGTAGTCATTAGGTTTAAGTGGACCTTAAACCTTCTTGAAGTAAAGGAGTTAAAGATAAATGTTAACTGCTTTGCTTCCTAGTTTGTGAGAAGTTTGTTTTAACCATGGTTTGAAAGAATGGAGTGGTCAGAGCACCATCTTCTGGTCAAAGTTTGACATACAGCATTACTATGGTACTGCTTATAGAATTTCACATAAAAACCATTATTGTTGACTTTAATGAAAAAAAATTTTTGCATTTGAATGAGGATCGAAACAATGGAAGTACAGTATGCATATTTCATCAGTTTTCCACATGGTCTGTTTTTACCCACAATAAAGCTATCCTGCTTGTTACTAGTTCAGTTGCCTAGGAGATACTGATGTAATGGGTTACTATGGCAACAGCTGGTCTCTTGAAGGATTGTAAATGATAGGGTTGGCAGAGTTCATAGAGGCACATGTTAAATGATTAATTTCATGAAATTTGTACCAAGATATGTTTTTATGTGAAAACTAATACTGAAATCTAATATGTTTAATTTATTTGAAATCAATCAATAATGTCCTTTTTATTTACTTTAATAGAATCAAAGGATAAATAACTCCCAGTCTGCTCAATCATTGGCCACCCCAGTGGTTTCCGTAGCAACTCCTACTTTACCAGGGCAAGGAATGGGAGGGTATCCATCAGCCATTTCAACAACATATGGTACTGGTGAGTATATTCATAGAGTGTAAATAGTACATTTAATACCAAGAAAGCAAGACAAAATAATTCTGTCTTCTCAGTCAATCAAGAACATCTATGGTGATCCCTTGTGCATGTGCATAACACTGAACTGTCACCTATATTTCTGTTAAGACCAGTTGAACTTAGAGATCTTTTCTTTCGTAAGTGGTTGAAAGTCTCATTAACCCAACTAGATAAATGAGAAACGTCAGGAAATCCAAAAGATCATTTCATCGTTTTACATAGAAAGGACACTTCTTATGAGCTGTGTCTCTTACAGTGTTATTTAGGAAACCTTGTAGTTGATGAAATGTAGTAGTCTGAGTAATGCATATAATATAGTCCAGCACTGTAATGATGATGCGTCCTTGAAATTTATACTTTTAATATTTAGACAGTTTTATCTGGAGTGTTACTCTTCCCCCAACATTTAGTATTTTCTTTTTTTTTTATTTAAAAATGACTCCCTTGTCTTTCTGAAATAAAATAGTTGCAGTTACTGAAAATGTTAGGAAATAAAAATGTTGATTCTGGTCACTACTTAATCATTTAAAAATTATTTCTCCATTATTATCTTTTTTTTCCCCAATCTAGAGTACTCACTGAGTAGCGCAGATTTATCATCTCTCTCTGGGTTTAATACAGCCAGTGCTCTTCATCTTGGTTCAGTAACTGGCTGGCAACAGCAACACCTACATAACATGCCACCATCTGCCCTCAGTCAATTGGGGTAAGCAATATTATTTTTGAATTATAGTCTTTTAAGAGATAAAGTTGCTTTTTAAAATGTACTAGGGTATTACATTCCACCAACCTAAAGTGTGTCATTATACTGTAGCCTTCATTGAACCTGAAAGCAAGTATCAGATCAATACCTTTTTAAAGTATGTATTTATTTGCCATCTTCTATATCCCTTAATAAGAAAGATAAAATTTTATTGATGGCTTGTCTTCCATTTCTCAGCAAAATGCATTGGTATTTCTTTCAGGGCAGCATTAAATAAAATAGAAAACATCTTTTTATGTTTTTCTCCAAGCAAAATATAAAGTTCATTTGAGATAGAGAATAAATTTGTGGTTGGTAGTTCTAAAAAGTTTCTAATATAATTGAGACAAACTTATTTAGGATAAATAAAAATAAAATTTTAGCATGGTTAAAACCTGATCATAGAATTGTCATATTTCCATCTGTTCAAGTGACACGTAAGCTTCATATATTTGTAACTGTCTTGTAAAAATATAGTCTAATTACCTAAATCTGGATAGAATACTTAATTTTTGTCCTCTGAAGCCAGAAAATGTATATCCCTGCCCTCTTGTGGTGGTTTTAGGATATTTCTTTAGTACAAGAGTACCTGTAGTGTTATATTATAGAGAGATTAATGCCAAAAAAAAAAAAATCAGGCTCATATTTCTAACTAAACAAAGAACAAGGAAATGCTTTCATCTAGAAAATTATTTTAAGCATTACTAATATCTACTTGTAGTTTTGATTTACAAAAAAAAAAGGCCTATTTAAGCAAGAGGAATATAGTGGTTTGCTTTTGATATTGTAAATCCCTGAAATTTGATATAATGGGCTTTTTCATAAAGTCATTTCATATAAGCTACATCTAACATTTATTTACAAGGTAATAGGCTACCTAAATCTGTTAATAACATAATAGTGTAAAATTCCTAGGAAATTGGACATGCAAATATCAAATACCCAGTCAGCACTTAGTCTCAATTGTTTCCAGTGTTTTCCTATTTAAATGTAACCAAACGTTAACCAAAAAGGATATAAATCAAATCTTGAGTCAACTTTTTGTATTCCCAACTTGTCATTTCCTAATTCACATCTTTGAAAAGTTAAGCTGCAAAGCAAGTAAAGAATTTCCATACCTCAAAAGCTACATGATTTCATCCATATGAATACTCCCTCCAGCAACGCAAATCACAACCCCTTTGTAATTTTGTATATGATCTTTGTAAATTGTTGTAGTTGGGAAAAAAACAAAAAATCCATTCCCTGGTGGCCATCTTCCTGGAGACAACCCTCTGAATGTAGCTGTACAAGAAACCTAGTTCATCTCAAACCTGTAGAACCTTTCTACTTTAGTAGGGTTGGCCAGAGTTCGCATTTTGCTTGTATAAACCTCCAGAACCTAAAATCAATTCCATGACACCTGGAAGATTAGGGTAGAGGTTTAGTAGAAAACAGATTTAAAGAAAGAAATCATCAATCAATCAATTTTTTTTACATAAATGTAGGATTACCTGTAAAGTACTATTAAGGGTAACACCAGAAACCAACGTCCTTAAATTTTCTGTAAAATAAAAAGAATACAATCCTAAACCATGGAGACCTTCCCACAGTATTTCCGGCCTGTTTTTCCCTTTAAAAGTTAAGGAATCCTTTTATGTCACTTCAATATAACTTCAGATTTCTTCTGAATCCAGCTAAGTGGGCTGGATCTGTGTGTGTGTGTGTGTGTGTGTGTGTGTGTGTATGTGTGTCTATGTGTGTGAGTCTGTGTGTGTATGTGTGAGTCTGTGTGTGTGTGTCTGTGTCTATGTGTCTATGTCTGAACAGATAAATTTCTAGAAAGAGAATCAAGTTAAATTCAGATAAAACAACCAACAGTTGATTAATGCTGCTAATTCTTTTAATAGACCACCAATTCCTTTTTCACTTTCCAGTGACTAATTTAGAACTAGAGATCACAAATGGGAGAAGATATCACCTCATAGCATATTTTCTCATGTATATTCTAATTTTTTATTATTATCATTAAAAATCCAATGTGATCTTACATTCACTGTATAAATATCTTAAAATGCCAATAGTGTGACTTAACTCCAACTGTTCTAGTTACTTCTGATGATCTCTAAACAGAGAGATATTTCAAGTATATGGTATCAGTATATTTCTACTCACTTGGTAGTTTTCTCACTTAACCCAGGAATACTAATTTCCCAAATGGGTGCTATTTAATCATAGTTCCAATCAGTTTCCCAAGGAATAGTAAAGTATAAAATAGCAACCAGACCAAAATAAATCTTTTCCTTTTCCTAAATGTGGTATTGCATTGCTATATCACAACTGTGAATCCATTCTGTCCAATATTGTCAGGATAGGTAATTTTTAAAATTTTTTTAATCAAAATGATTACCAAAAGGTTTTCTTAGAAATTAACAGTAATAAATCAAAAGCCCCATTATTAGTTTCAAACATGGCTGTATTGGGGACATAAGGGAAGATATTTTGTCATCTCAGATTATTTAAAAGCTTAAATTCATGTTCGTTATATTTGTCATCATTCTTTGTAATTTCTGGAAAATGACTACGCATCAAGCAATCAGATTCTATGCTAGCCAATAAAGGTGCTTCAGTAAGTGAGCAAAGGTTTCAGTGGATTGAAATAAATAAGGAATAGAGATTCAGGATGGAAGGGAATTGAGTACTGAATATAGATAAAGTCAAAGAAAAAAACCATAATTTGATTTTGCACCAAATTCCTTTCTATGCTTTTTCTCATTGTGTATATCTTACCCAAAAAGTTATCATGTAAGTTTTCAATGACTTTTAAATAATAAATAAATAAATATGTGTTGAATTGAAGTGCCTGGATAATACAATAAATATAATCCTTCTTCATTTTCTATCCAAACATGTCTGGCTGTGTGCACACACACAGACATCAGTGCACACACACAGACATCAGTGCACACACACTTAGCCCCTCTTAACACAGTGCCTGGTACATAGTGGATACTTAATGCTAGTTAACTGACTAAATAACATACACACATACACAAATATACACACACTGTTGTCATCATTTTTCCAACTCTTTCTGTAAATAATAAAGTATTTTTTTTTAAAAAATACATCTTCCTAGAAAGCAAAGTGGCTTTAAAAAGGGAGTTACCTCAAATATACTAGCCTAATTTGACATAATTGTTAACATTAAAAAGTTATTTTAAATATCAAAAATCCCCCCTGCTATGTAACATCTCTATCACATAAATAACTTTAGCCACTCAGATTCATTTCATAATAATCAATTGAAAGATTCACAAAGGCTTTTGCAAATCAGATTGATGTCTTATTGGGCCAGTGGGTCAAATCCAGGATGACAGACAGGTCTGATGTTTAAAAAGGAAGTTGTTTAATATGGGGGAAGCAGGATATTTTGGATTGTCACCTAAGCCAAAATGGACATTGGCGGTCCACTATAATTATCAAAGTGTCACTGATTCCATCGATACTCTACCAAAAATAAAAAGAACAACGTGTATTCTTTTAAGTAGAAATGTCTTTGGCCTTCATAATTATACTTTTAAAAAATACCTGTCATCCAATTTTATCCATCCAACATAAAGAATGATTCACTTTGGATGGTAATCTCCTACACAAGTTCCTGAAGTTAGTGGGAGTTTTATGTAGGGAGTAGAGTTGTGGCAGAAGAACCTGGCCCTGTGAGTTCAGTGGGAGTAAATTGTGTGACTAAGACTGAGCTTTGTAAAAAGTGGTCATTTTCCATAAAAGTTACTTTTATTTTTTGAAACTCAACAATGCTTATGGGCTTTCCATTGGAAATGCCCCTCTTATTTTAGGTGCTTTTCCCATTATCTAAAAAGGCATTCCTCCTAAGCATTTTCATTCATCGATTTTTGTGAGGTGGGTGTGCAATGCATACTGTAGAAGGCTATTTGTGGGTGCAGGCAACTTTGAAAAGGTTAGGTAAAAATAGGTCAGATACTCTAATATATTTTACAGGCGGAGGCAGTAAGAATTTGAATAAAACTATCCAGTCATATTTGATCTCTGATCGAATACGGGGAAAGGTAGGTGTTTTCCCAGTTCTAAATCTGGCATCAGTAGTAAATGATAACTTTCAGTGTGGACTTCAATGTGAGCAACTCGAAGATCAGGCTTTTTCACTCTCCCACATGTTCTAGTCAATCATAGCATATATTCCTCATAATTATTTATGTCCAAAATCATGTTCTACATAAACACCAAACCACAATTTTCTGCTAGTTCCCGTGTCTCAATTTGGCATGAATAGTGCTAAGTTGTTTTTTTGTTAATTAACTGTTCTTTATTTTCCAGAATTATTTCTTTAAAAATAAGAAAACTGACCAATTAAATTCCTGTGTTATAACAGTCCCACTGATATATGATGTATTTTGTAGCAAAGTATCTAACATAATCATTTACTTATTAGACTAAACGTTTCATGTTTGCGGATTTATTCCCCCAAGTTTTTAAAGAAGCTGCTCTATCAAAGTGTTTAAAATATGTTTTCAAAGTGCAATAAGATATCACCAAAAGTCTTATTAAAGTATTTGTATGAATATACTTAAGACATTAATAGTTGAAAAAGTGCTTTCCCCAAAACAGCCCTGTGGGGCAGATGGCAAAGGTATTCTCACCCTATTCTACTGCATAAGAACGTAACTCAGAAAGTCTGCATGTGACTGCAAAGTCACATGACTAGTGAGAGGCAAAAGCAGGATTTCTTTACAAGGAAGGATAATTACTGTTACACTCTTCATCAGAAAAAAATAGTAGTTGTATGGAAAGAATCTAATTGCTTATGAGAGTTGAAGAAATTACGCAATTTTGCAAATAATGTAAGTCCTTCTCCCCCAAAAAAAATATTTTTATGATTGAGTAAAAGAGTTTATGAATTTTTGTGAGGGAATGAAGATTGGTTTTGGAGCCTGATTTGTCCAGCTTAGCTATTGTCTTCACTGATCCAGTTCACAGAATAATTTTTCAGTTCTCTATTTCCTTTTGCCAATGAAGACAGCATTTAAATTACAGAGCTGAAAAAGACATTTATTGATATGCCACTTTATTTTCAGTCTCCTTATAGACATATATTATTAAATATTTGTTTGATTCATACTAGAAGTATTTAATTAAATTTTACTCATACATTCTAGCAAAAATTTTTCCCCAAATTCAAAAGAGAGTTTTCTTCTTGATACAAGAACACAGGTGCTTATTAAGTGTTTACTGTATGCCAGCCTCTGTGCTAAGTGCTACATAAAATAGTCACCAAGAGCAAATGTCCCACCCGTGAAGTGTAAGATGTAGCGTTTTTGTTATTGTTACTGTTGTTGTTGTTGTTGTTGCGGTTGTTATTCTAATTTCTCCCTGACTTAGACAGTCTATGATTCCTATCTGGGAATACAGTAAGACTACGATAGACTATAACATAATTAGCACTTTCAAATTGCTCAAAGAATATAAGCATACCTGAAACATCATGTAAAGTTTGGTGTCTAGGTATATAATGTCAAGACTGATTTGCTTCCATAGAATCATAGAGGTTATAGAAAGAAAATGTTTATTAGAGAAACAAATCATTCTCCTTTCAGATTATTTCCTACATTACGTGATGTATTAATAGGCGAGGGAAAGTAATTTTTTGCCAGTAGGTGGTGCTTTTGTATAAAACATCACTCATAAACTCTCATTTCCGCCTAATTTCATATTCCTGTACATTTTCAGCCCTCATTGTATCTCCCACAAAGCTGACTCCCTCTATCATATACTGTCTCCCAAATTTGCGTGCACATACTCACACACTCACAACAAAGTTTAAAATAGCACTTAAGGCCTCTTTTTAAACAGGAAAATGAAGTAGGAGCTTATACCGGCACATTTTGAGTCCCTTTGTTTGAGATGGGTGGGTCTTCATGTACAAGTCATCATTTTTGCTCTTCCTTGATTTAAAGGGGAAAAAAAGATTTTTGAAATTTCCTAGCAAAGCAAGTTGTGCTGGTACACACACAGCACATGTCAGCATTCTCTGCCACGGTAGACTCCTGGTTTATAGACTAGCAGCCCTATTTTTGTCTTAGAATGCTCACAGCTTCCGCATGCAACCTTATATTTGGGTGATCCTGGCCAATGACAGTTTGTCTATCAATCTCCTTTGAAAGGTTGGTTTAATTCTTATTTCCTAAGACCTGTAGCGTCACCATTTCTTCCATATTTTGAAGGAAGTGCAAGCTCTTGAGGAATACAAGGAGGAATAACTGTTCTAAGCACAACTAATCACCACCAGGTCTTTCTTTGTAATGTGTTTCTCCCATACAGTCTCACATACCTGACCATATATGCCTTTAGAATAATAGGGGAGACGTAAGTTCAGCATTTTCTTTATTCTTATAGTTTCACATATCTGGCAATGCTTGACTAACATTAATGGAAGTAATATAGCTGGAGGAAATGAACTCTATTTTTATCCTGCATAGTTAAATAGGAATAAAGAATTTCTACTTATTTACATGTATTGTCAAGAGTAAAATCTTACATTCATTCATAAGTACCTGTAAAATATCAATAGATATATTTACCTTTCAGCTCCTAGCCTCCTTTCCTCTCTCAGCTCCCTACTCCTACACAAAAGAGAAATGTTTACTGTATGGAGAGCTTTGTGGGCCTTATTCATCTGAAGCTTAAAATTTCTTCACTTTCCATAAAAAGGATATAACTTGATTATTCACATGGTTGTTTAGTAAATATATAAAGCCTCCATCATAAGTTTTTAGGTGCATATATATAAAAAATAATGTCAAAACACAGTCTTGATGATTAGGGAGGTCTGATTCAAGAACTAGATACTATGCCCTCGAGTCCTACCAAATGTAAAGCAGCATTTCAAGGACACAGAAAAATCTCTTACCACCATCTCTTGGACTACTATTCTGGGCACTGCTAACCAGAGCTCTTGGAAAGCTCTTAGGTGCAGTATCAGAGCCCAGACTGGAATGATGCCTAAGGCCTGAACCAGTTAAATATTGGAATTGCTACAGGTTTAAAAACAAAACAAAACAAAACAAAACCCAGCATCACCTTGCATTTTTGAGTAAGTGATGCTTCAATTTTCCACTCATTCTAAATATTTCCTTAGGTACTCTTCACCTCTTGACATACACAAGAATCGGTATGAGTCTTTAAGCTGATGTTTTATGTGGATGAGAGTGATTGTGCGTTCCTGGGGGCTCCAGGCCTCCTCAATCTGTAACTGGGTTTCCTTTCCTCCTACAGAGCTTGCACTAGCACTCACTTATCTCAGAGTACAAATCTCTCCCTGCCTTCTACTCAAAGCCTCAACATCAAGTCAGAACCTGTTTCTCCTCCTAGAGACCGTACCACCACCCCCTCGAGATACCCACAGCATACGCGCCACGAGGCGGGGAGATCTCCTGTTGACAGCTTGAGCAGCTGTAGCAGCTCGTATGATGGGAGCGACCGAGAGGATCATCGGAATGAATTCCACTCCCCCATTGGACTCACCAGACCTTCGCCGGACGAAAGGGAAAGTCCCTCAGTCAAGCGCATGCGGCTCTCTGAAGGATGGGCAACATGATCAAATTATTACCTACTAGTTTTTTTTTTTCCTTGCAGTGTGTGTGTGCTATACCTTAATGGGGAATGGGGGGTCGATATGCATTATATGTGCCGTGTGTGGACAAAAAAGTCAGGTACTCTGTTTTGTAAAAGTACTTTTAAATTGCCTCAGTGATACAGTATAAAGGTAAACAGAAATGCTGAGATAGGCTTAGCACTTGAGTTGTACAACAGAACACTTGTACAAAATAGATTTTAAGGCTAACTTCTTTTCACTGTTGTGCTCCTTTGCAAAATGTATGTTACAATAGATAGTGTCATGTTGCAGGTTCAACGTTATTTACATGTAAATAGACAAAAGGAAACATTTGCCGGAGGTGGCAGATCTTTACTGAGAGAGAAAGCAGCTGTTATGCAACATATAGAAAATGTATAGATGTTTTGACAGACCCAGCAATGGGTGGCCACTGGTAAATGTTAGAAACAGAGGAGGTCACCTAACATAGCAATGATGCTCACAAACATTCAGGCATATCATTGGAGTATGGCACTCAGTTAAAAGGATCAAAGACATTTAAAAGAGGACCATACTTATAAAAATGTGGAGTTTGAGGGCTAACATATTTAATTTTTAAAAATTCTGGGTCTGCATCACTTATTAAATAAAAATATAAAAATATGTACATTACATTTTGCTTATTTTCATATAAAAAGTAAGACAGAGTTTGCAAAGCATTTGTGGCTTTTTGTAGTTTACTTAAGCCAAAATGTGTTTTTTTTTCTTGATAGCTTCGCTAATATTTTAAACAGTCCTGAAAAAAGCAAAAGGGACTTTTTGTATAGAAAGCACTACCCTAAGCCATGAAGAACTCCATGCTTTGCTAACCAAGATAACTGTTTTCTCTTTGTAGAAGTTTTGTTTTTGAAATGTGTATTTCTAATTATATAAAATATTAAGAATCTTTTAAAAAATCTGTGAAATTAACATGCTTGTGTATAGCTTTCTAATATATAATAATTATGGTAATAGCAGAAGTTTTTGTTATCTTAATAGTGGGAGGGGGGTATATTTGTGCAGTTGCACATTTAAGTAACTATTTTCTTTCAGTTTTCTTTTACTCTGCATACATTTTACAAAATCAAAATCAATTGTCAAAAGGATAACCTGTGGGGTTAGATTTACCATATCATAACAACCTAAATCATTTTAAAAACTACATTTGCAATCTATTGGGTGAACAGACATCCATTGTATATATTGATTAGTTCTTTCAGTTTTGAATTTTTGGGTTTTTTTGCATTTTACCAAATGCAGGGTCCCTTTTTCTGATCTTAGATATACCCCTGTGCATCTTGGAATTCAATAAGTATGTATCACAATTTGACCTTTATCCTAAATCACCTGGTTGGTATTCAGCCCACTATAATTTGATATATAGTATTTGTTTTTGGTTTTGTTTTTTAATCTGCCTGGAATGGGCTATGAGTGGTGGTACATTACATCTTGAAGATATGTCAGAAAAAAATGTGCTTGATGTGAAGGTAACCCAGTGAATAAGTTATATTCGCCCACATTTAGAGAAAATATGAAGAAACTTGATACTACAGAAAAGAAAAAGAAACAGGTACCCAGTGTTGTATTATTTTAACTTGTACTCAACAAACCTTGCTGGTATCATAAGGCTGTTGAGTGAGCCCAGTGTATCAGGCAACCCCAAAATGTCACTTCTGCATAAGGCATGTATGTCATATTTTTTCCTTCAATAAAGAGAGTTAATAGCCATTACAAGAAAACCCATTTAAGATCCTCTATGTCCCTTTTCGTTCAAAGAAACAATGACTTACTGAACACATGTCTCTGGGGATTATTTTCTGGGTCATTCCCCTTTAAGAAGTTAGTGCCATAAGAAATGCTTGTATTTCTTCTCCAAGAGTAGTTTCAGTTTTTGGAAGAATATAGGAACAATTCCCTTTTCATGGTATGTGGAGATCCAGTTTCATCTCCCAATCAGATGCATTGATATTAGCAGTAAAAAAAAAAATAAAAAAATAAAAATAATTTTTTTTAAATACAAAAGTGATGCAGTCAGTACAAACAAATCCAGTTTAGTTAGGCCATACTAAGACCCATTCCCCATCAACTTGTCGTAGTTTCTGTGCATTTCTCATCATAAGAGGCTGCCGCTGGGTGGCAGAAGCCAAGAGATTTTACTTACTGGACTCTATTTTCCTAACTTCATCTGAAATTCCCAATTAGTTCTCTGGTTTGTGCCTGACTAGGATGCCAGTCTGCCTTGTGCTCGTATTTTATATACTCTAAGCAGAATACAATTCAACTAATTCATACACCCTATTTGATAAGATGACCATGGAACATGGAAAGAAAGATATTTATGCAGAGGAAAAGCAGAACTGGATCCCTGACCTATTAAATGCAAACACACATAGACACACACAGTATTCAAAGCCACTCTCCTAACCTTAAGCATGATCCCATTCTTAGAGTCTCTTGCTGAGATTTTAACTTGACGTGTATAAAATATGCAAATATGTCACAAATGTGCTTTGTCATTTCAAAACACTTTGGGTTTATCAGAATTGTTAGTAGAAACTTGTCAGCGGGTGGGGAGGGGGTCAGTCTATGAAAATACGAAGAATAGCCATATTATTAGTTTACCTTGCAATTTGCCTCAGCAACACAGGAAAAAAAGGAAAAGTGAGTTTCTAAGGGGGTGGTTGTTTAAAGTAAGCTAAAGAACCAGCAGAAGCCAGGGTAAAGATGAAGCCTTGGCTATTTATAGCAGTTCTGACAATGGTTTTATAAGAACATTTAAAGAATAGAATCACTTGAAAGTGGATACCAGTCACCTCTTGTTCCCACCACTGAATTCATCTGAAGTGGTGGCAAGATAGTGAAAGGATAATCTGAGAATTTTTAAAAGATGATTTAATGAGAAGAAGCACAACTTTGAATATGATGAGTCACTTTCTGTCAACAATAACTGTCTATTTTTTTTACCCTTGTACCTTTCTCTGTAATTTACCATTTACTGTATTTGCAAAGCTAATTTTGTTTTTTTTTTCACAGAGATTCCTTTGTATGTAAGGAGTTTGGGGCAGAGCCCTGAGGGAGTATTACTTTACAGAACCCAAGCTGCAGAAACCTTTTTTTTTTTAGGCAACACTCTTCATTGCAAGTTAAAATACCCCCAAAGTGGCATTTTGTTCACTCTCAAGGATTGTAATCGCTAATCCTTCTTTTAAGAGATTTTCAGCAACATCATTAAATTGAATGATTGGTGACAATGATATGATATACATAAGCTGCACAACCTGTATATTGTATGCATTGGTGCCTTTCATTTTGAGGCTGTTCATTTTAACATTTTTGAAAGTTCAGTTTTATAGCAAAAAGGCATATTTTTCCCAAAGGCAGAATCTAACTGTTTTGTAATGATGAATATGAAAATACCTGTCATCCTCAGATCATTTTCAGGTTAACTAAAGTGAGAATTTTTAAAATAACAATGCCAATTCTCTCTTAACAAGAATGTCAGCCCTCTTGTACCTGGACGTTTGTTTTATCTTTCCTATCCAAGTCTTTAACTTAGGCATAGAGATTTTTTTTGCCCCTTTCTTCTTGTGTTCCCTTCAGAAAGTAAATGCTTTGTATTTCTTTTTTTTTTTAAGCCACTTGAAACCTCAATAAAGGCTGTTGCCTAAACATGGAATACTTCATCTGTTCCTGTTTGTGCCATCTGCTGTGACGTCGTCACTTACATGGCGTTAATTTCCTGCCACTACAGATCTTTTGAAGGACTGATGGGATATTGGTATATGTTAGAATGCTTCAGATCGTAGATGTAATAAGAGGCTTTTGTTAATATGTTTTAACCAAAGATGTGGAGCAATCCAAGCTTTTAGCCACATACCGTCTGCATCAAATTTGTCCATTTGGGTTATTTTTATAATCGGGTGTTACATTTTGCCTTCCCTACGCATACCTCAAATTGATCCATACCTCCCTCTGATTCAGAGAGGTCAACTAAATGACAGATTTTTTTTTCACTCTAAATGCTAGTACCTGTGTTCTCTTAGAGTAGAGCAGAAATGGGTCACTGTAGGCATAGTACTTGGATTGCTTCAGATGGTTTGCTGTATCCTTTTTTCTTCTTTTTTTCTTTCTTTTTCTGGGGACTTGTTTCCATTAAATGACAGTAATTCAAAAGTAGCTTGTAAATGAGGGCATACAAGCATTTGCAACAAATATTAAAATAGAGGCTCACAGCGGCATAAGCTGGACTTTGTCGCCACTAGATGACAAGATGTTATAACTAAGTTAAACCACATCTGTGTATCTCAAGGGACTTAATTCAGCTGTCTGTAGTGAACAAAAGTGGGAAATTTTCAAAAGTTTCTCCTGCTGGAAATAAGGTATAATTTGTATTTTGCAGACAATTCAGTAAAGTTACTGGCTTTCTTAGTGATGCAGTGTCTGTGGTGCATTTCTTTAATTAGTGTTTTACTGTTTAAATTTGTTCCATTTTGCCACATTTTTAAAAGTAACTTCTACCACAAGGACACCTCTTTCTTAGCCTTGACAAATTTCATATCCAGATAGCATATACAAATAAGAGATATGTATAAATAAATGTATCTATCTATATTTGTAGACAAATATATACCTGCATGGGTTGTGAATTAGATATCATGTTCAGGTAGACTTCTGCAAGTTTAGGAATTCAAAGGTCCTGTCACTGGTTAAATACTTCTATCACTGTAATTATATGACAGGTCTTTGATAACCTGATTTCCTCATGTGAATCTTTTTCCTGAGATTAGTGAGAAAGCCATATCCAAGCAGATGGAAAACAATGTTGGTTGTTTGGGTTTTTTTTTTTAACATGAAAATCTGGAAAGGAAAGGAAAATCTGTACCATAAATATTTCTCTTTTTTTTGCATGATGTTTAATTTAAACAAAATGTTGGAAACTTAAAATTTTTAAATTGAGTTATTTTATGGTTAGGAGAGTCTATATATTTTCATTTTTATGAAAATAGCACATTAAGTGGCAAAATTACAATTATACTTTTCAAAAGAAATGTACGTAAGGAGGTCAACATGCAAAACTATACAACAGATGAAGGAAAGAAGGAAGGAAGGAAAGAAGGAAGGAAGGAAGGAAGGAAGGAAGGAAGGAAGGAAGGAAGGAAGGAAGGAAGGAAGGAAGGAAGGAAGGAAGGAAGGAAGAGGGAAAGAGGGAGAGGAGGGAAAAAGAAGGAAAAGGAAGGAGGGGGAAAGGAAGAAAGGAAAGAAGGAAGGAAAAAGGGAAAAAGGAAGGAGAGATGGAAGAAGAGGAAGGGAAAGAGATAGGGAAAAGGAAGGAAGGAAGGAAAGAAGGAATGAAGAGGGAGGGAGAGAAAAGGAGGAGAAAAGAAAGGAAAAAAAGGAAGGAAAGAGGGAAGGAGGAAAAGAGGAAGGGAGAAAGGAAGGTATTTGTTAAGTATTTGTGTCAGCCACTGTGCTAAGTGCTTTACAAATATTATCACATTTATTCTTCACTATAACCCTGGGATGGATTTGTTATTATCCCCATATATCCCCATTTCACAAATGAGGAAATAACACAGACAGAGGTTGTCACTTGCTTACAGGTCGCACAGCAAGCAAGGCTGGATTAGAACTCAGGTCTTCCTGACTTCAGGCCCAGCACTCGATGCTTTACACCACCTGGCTGCCTATAACAAAAATCATAAGCCACTGATGAACTGCCAGCATAAGCAAGTTGGATTACATCATGTCTAAGCTCCCTTACCACTCTAAATCTTAAGAGCTAATAATCCTAACTATAAAATGATCCCTGTTCTAAACTCACTAGGAGAAATGTTGCCAATAACTCCACCATAACTCTTACCATGTTCAAGGCACTGAGTGATAGAGCTAAGACAATCATGGCCCTCACTGAGTTTGCAATCTAGGGGGAAGAGATGCTATTGTGTACAAATAAACATAATGGGAGGCAGTAGGTGATTAAGGTCATAAGTGTGACAAAGCATTACGGGAGTTCAGAGAAGAAAGAAGCCATTTCTAACACAAGATATGACATTTAGAAAGGTGGCGTTTGAACAAGGTACAATTTTCATGAGCAAGAACAGAAAGGAAGACATTAGTGGAGGAAGGAGACAAGCCATAGCAGCAAGAGAGCTTGGAGCATGTTTAGGGAATCCAGTATAAAAGGAAAGATAGAGAAATAAAAGCCAGAGAGTGAGGTTGGAATCAGAGTGTGTGTGTGTGTGTGGGTGTGCACACGTGTGTGTGCGTGTGACTATCAGACTAACACTTTTCACTTTATCCTAGTAGGAATTGGGGAGCCTTTGAAGGTCTGGAGCAAAGGAGCAGGATAATCAGAGCTGTGCTTTAGGAAGATTGACCTGGCAGTAGTATGTGAGATGAATTGTATCAGCAAACTAGGCAAAAGGAAATAAGGGGTGATCGCCTTTGGGATGAAAAGGAAAGGCTGGATATAAGCAATCGAATAATTATACAATCAATGAAACTTAACTGAGTGGTTAGGAGAAGTGATGTCTCACTATATAATTTGAAACAGGAGTCAGAGGATACAGAGGTCTCATGCCTTAGGTGACTTAGACTTCTGGTTAAAAAAAATAAGGGAGTTGGGGGGGGGAGTAAGTTTCTTGGAGGAGATGGTTTCAATTCAGAACAAGTTATTGTTGGATTTGGAATGCCAGTGAGATAGCTAGGTAGACATCCAACAAGCAGTTGAAAATATGGAACTGGAATTCAGGAGAAAAGTTGAGGCTGTAGATCCATAATTGGACTGGAAATAATATACATACACCATGGTGGGCTGACAGTGGAGAACACAGACAAGGAAAAAGAGAGGGGGTGGAGGGAGAGAATAGAGCAGAAAAAAAAAAAGAAAAGGCATCGAATTCACATAAGTAAAAAGAGAGCCAAGTAGAAAAATATCAGGAGAATCAGGATAGGACAATGCCATGGATGCCAAGAGAAACAATGATTTTGAGAAGGAAGGAATACTCAACATCATCAAATTACAGAAAAGTCAAGGATAAGGATGGAGAAAAGGTGGTTGAGTTTGGTCATTGGGCTCTATTGTTCATTTTTTTTTTTAGGCAATTGGGGTTAAGTGACTTGCCCAGTCACGCAGCTAGTAAGTGTCAAGTGTTTGGTCTGAGGCCTGATTTGAACCTAGGTCCTCCTGACTTCAGGGCCAGTGCTCTATCCACTGCACAACATAACTGCCCCTCCATTGTTTATTTTTGAAAGAGCATTTAGGGCAGTTAGGTGGCATGGTGGATAGAGCACCAGTCCTGAAGTTAAAAGGACCTGAGTTCAAATCAACCCAAAGACACTTACTAGCTGTGTGACCCTAGGCAAGTCACGTAATTCCAATTGCCTCAAAAAAAAAAACAAAGAAAAAGGTCATTGGCATTTTAGTGAGAAGAGGGCATTAAGGTTAAGAAATTAATTCATGGTAAGGCAGTTGTAGCAGTCATAATTTATGAAAGGAGAGAGACTATAGCAAGGTGTTTATGAAAACTGTTTCTAGAGGCAGGGGACCACACGTGCATTTGTAAACAGAGGGAAAGAAAGTAGCTTATTAAGAGGGATAATGAAGACAGAAGACAGATGATGAGTTCAGACATCATACAATATTGCCAGAAAAAAAATAGATACAGATTGATGTAAGCCAGTCAGATTAGGTCTCTTAACCCAGACGAGGCGAGTGGATGTGCAGTTAGTGATGAAGTCTCTAACTCCAAAGGAATTTCAACATGCCTGCATTTATGCTTGTGTGACCTACTTGTGATGGTATAATCAAAGGTTCGCTTACCCTAGACTGGTTTAGACTCCAGGTCCCTCAGAACAAAACCACACAGCCCCTAACATCTTCAGGGTATCTAGAACTGGTCAGCTGCTTGGATAGTGCAGGTTAGTTATGTCGCAGTTATACATGAAGATTCATTTCCCTACCCAGGCCAAAGCAGGGACCTGGAATAACAGTGATGTGCACTTGCGCCCTTCTTGTATGTCTGTTTTCCTTGGAATCTTGGATTTGTCCAAGTTAAGAAATAGGTATCAAACCACTGGTTTCAGTGGCAAAAATCAGTTATTTATTTTATCTTTAATGGCCTAGCTAAAGCAAAATAAAATGCTTGAAAGGAGCCATAAACCAAGTTCTACTTCCCTCACTTTTATATAAAAAAAAATGAAGCATTTGAGTCTGAATTTTGAGACACACAAAAATCTGTCCTCCCCATCTGTTTCTCTTCATTTCCATGTTAAAAGGTAGACTGTCATACCATGGTCTTCCTTTTGTAAGTTTTAGCTTTGCAAATAAGTTCTAAGCAAAAGCCAGTGAAGAAAACTGTAACTGAATTTACTGTAGTAGTAATAATAATAATAATAATAATAATAATCGCTTTTTATAGTGCTTACTATATGCTTCTTATCTGGCTAATAATTCTAATAGGTAATGACTGAGTAGGCCAGTATGTCACAATATCTTTCCCAATATAAGTGGAAGATACTTAATTCTTCAAGCTCTGTGATTTTATTAGGTAGATGGTATCTGAAAGTTGGTATAACCAAAAAACCCAGCACCCGGCAGCAGACCTAGTGATAAGTCTTTTCAAACTTAGCTAGGCTTCTCCTTAGATGTGTGTTCTGCCAATGAGTTCATATGTAGAAGTTTTTGATCTTACTAGAACCCATCCATGACGAACCTTAGTAGAACCTTTCTATTTAGCTGAACCTGTGTATTCGATTATAATACACTAGTATAGCCTTCAAGAAGTCAGGGTCACCTGTAACAAAGAAAGATTTACTATTTTTGAGTATCACCCACATAGTAAAGTTTAGGATTAGAGGTTGTAATATCAACTCTGCCACTGGCCCGCTTAGTAGCTCTGGGGTAGCATTAATTTCCCAGGTTACCTATTTACCTGAAAATACAGAACTATCTATTATAGTTGCTGTTCAGATGTTCAGTCATGTCCAATTCTTCATGACACCTTTTGGGGTTTTCTTGATAAGGATACTAGAGTGGGTTGACATTTCCTTCTCCAGTGGATTAAGGCAAATAGAGATTAAGTGACATAGCTAGTAACTATTTGGGGCTGGATCTGAACTCAAGTCTTCCTGACTCCAGGCCCAGAGCTCTATCTACTGAGTCATCTAGCTGCTTCTTATAATCTCTATTACCAAAAAAGGATCATTTTGTTTTACCTCTCCTAATTGTATCCTTTCTTGCTATCTTTCTCATTCCCACTTATTGCAGTACTTAGGAGAAATGAGTGAGAAACTTTCTGTTTCTCTTTGTCCACAAATAGATTATCTGTTCCAGCAGCAATCACCAAATAAAAATCTTCCATCTTGCCTTAAACTTGAAAACTTTCAGGATCATAAGGAATCAATACATACAGTCCATACTTACCCATAAGT